GAAAGGGTCATCCATTGATTCAGCCAACATTTGAATGCTTACTGTATACCAAGCACTGTGGACTCTGAAAAGATTTAATGTTACCTATTTCTAACCCTGACCCCAACCCTATTAATTATTAAATTATTATCCCCATTTGACTAGATGCCTTTGAGTTGGCTCCTTTCCAGTCAATCTCCATACCTCCACCTGGGTGATTTGTCTACAACTCATGCAGAATCCAGCACCCAGTCTTTAGCATGGCATCTGAGTTCTTGCATGACCAGGTGTATGCTGCCCATTCAGCGTCACTTCCCTCTGCATCACCCCTACACTGGAATCTCTGTCCAAATCATGTTGTTTATTGTTCCCTGAATTCCATAGTCATACAGTTTGCCTAATGCTGAACCCTTCACTGGTGCGCTGAAAGCTAGACCTGTCACTTGCTCATGGTCGTACTGATACTAATGGGGAAGGGCCAGTTTTAAACGAAGGTCTAACTCCAAATTGCTAGTGCCTTTCTTACAATGTGTTGCTATTAATTTATTGCATTTATTCTTAGGGAGCTAAACAGATATTGGTACTTTTCAATGAAATGAAGAAAATCCATTTTTGGAGAGGGAGTGATGTTCAATTTTATTATACATTTACGTCTTTCCCCCTATGTTTATGAGTGTTTTGAGGACAGGGACCATGTCTTATTCCTGTTCCTATCACCTTAATTATCTTTCCTGGCATAGAGTAAGTGTTCTTGTATTTGAATGATGAATGAATCCACATGACTGGATTAGGCTGCCAATAACCTATATTCTCTGTTCTCAGCTCTGGCTCTAGCTAGATCCTTGTGGCCTTGAGCTGTTAGGGGAAACTTGTTTTTTAAAATGTGTTAGTATAGGAAGCTGCCAATAAAATATGAAACTCTTTATATTAAACTCAGCTCATTTGTTAGGTGGCTTGAAATGATTGTTAACAAATAGGCAGTTTTATTCCTATACTGTTGTGTTCCAGTCCAGCTGTTGATTGCTTAGATATGAGTTCCTGCTATTTTATAGGCAAGTGTGCTATTAGTTTTAATTGTAGTTTACTTAAAACTAATTCTAGTAAAATAGTTCCCAGTTTAGGTGGCAACCATGAATATATTAATGTTTGTGCTGTTAAGAAGGCATCACGATAAGCTGTTTCTGAGTTCTATTAATATTCATTTGCTACTTCTTCATTCCTTCCGAAGAATTTCTGCTCTAGATTATCTCCATTCTAATTCTAATTTTATGATTTCATTTTGAGAGCTAAATCCTTTATCCTCAAATGATGTACTAAGTGGTTTATGATTACATACTGTTTCTTAGGGCTGTAACCACAAACACGGGATGAGGAGGCAGTAGTTTTCTAAGTACTCTCTGACTGTTGTTATCATTGATAGGAATGTCCCCAGGATTAGGAGTACATGGTTGTAATATACTTAACTTTGGCCCTAACAGGAATGATTCCCGCTCACCAGGGAGTATAAGCTACTTGCCTTCATTCTTCACCAAGCTTGAAAATACATCACCCATGGTTAAATCAAAGAAGCAGGAGATTTTTCGTAAGTTGAACTCCTCTGGTGGAGGTGACTCTGATATGGGTAAGTGGGATTTCTTTCATGAACCCCAAATAAAACATGCATTAATAATGATCTCCAGTGTTGCCTCTCCTATAATGCTTGAGTTTGAAGGCTCTTTACAGGACATCTATCCAACACATCTGATCCTAGAGTTCCTTCTCAAGTGTCTGCCAGCCCGTGAAGAGTTCTAATTAGGAAGCAGGAGTTCGCTCCTTTCTGAAGCTGTGCCATTTCTCTTTGAAGGAATCTGTGTCTAGGTTACTTTTCTTTACGTGGGACTGGATTAACTCTCCATAGTTTGTTTTTCTTTCTCCCCTACCCGTCAGTCTTCCTTTTGTCCATTTGGGCCCATCCCCACATAACATCTCCTCAGATATTTGAAGACGTGTCTTTCAGGAGTCCTCTCAATCAATGTCCCCAGTTTCATCAGCTGTGCATCACATGTCCTCATTCTTAGTACCCCTACCATCTCAATTATTCTCCACCAAAAACATGTAGCCTAGCCTTTCACTAGGTTTCGAGTAATACAAAATAGAGTAGTGTAATATGATCTATGCTAAATTCATCATTTTTCGCCTAAGACTATTTAAAGTAGCATTTAAACTAGCCTAAGACTATTAGCTGTTGTGTTGGCAGCCTGTACACTGTTAAGTTATGAAGTACACTGTTAAGTACTTAGTATGAATGTTGATGTCAAGGTCTTGGGCTACTTTTAATTCACGCCTTGCCCTCGCTCTACTTTTGCAATAACTAGCTCCAAGTATAGGACAAGTCCAAGTCCGTCTGTGCTTGCTCCAGTCCAACTACTTTTTCTACCCTACCGGTGTCTTTCTGGGCTTGAGTTGATTCATTCACTATTCATATGCAACTCTGATAAACTCACAGTGTAAAAATACAACATTGGCCAGGCACGGTGGCTCACACCTGGAATCTCAGCACTTTGGGAGGCCAAGGCAGGAGGATTGATTGGGCCCAGGAGTTCCAGATTAGCCTGGATAACACAGGGAGCCCCCGTCTCTACAAAATATAAAAAACTAGCTGGGTGCAGTGGTATACGCCCCTGTAGTCCCATTTACATGGGAAGCTGAGGTGGAAGGATCGCCTGAGCCTGAGAAATTTGAGGTTGCAGTGAGCCATGATCGCTCCAGCCTAAGCCACAGAGTGAGATGTCTCAAGAAAAAAAAAAAAAATTACAAAAATTGTCTGGGTGTGGTGGCTCACGCCCATAATCCCAGCACTTTGCAAGGCCAAGGTGGGTGGATCACCTGAGATCAAGAGTTTGAGACCAGCCTGGGCAACATGGTGAAACCCCGTCTCTACTAAAAATATAAAAATGAGCTGGTCATGGTGGCGTGCGCCTGTGATCCCAGCTAC